GCTTCAGTTAGAAACATCATAAACATGGTTTTCAAGTCCCTGGTGAGGGCCCTATCTGGCCTAAGACTTTCCACCAATCCAATCTCAAGACAATGTGTGTGTGTGTTTGCTCTTACCTGCACCAAAGGTCTTTCCCCAACACCCCGGCGATTATTGCAATCTCAGACCTGTTCACCACAAGGCAGTCTCTTGAGGTTGGTTTCTATTGAGAAGATCAAGTGAAGACATTACATGGGAGTCCATCTTCACTCATTTGTTTATTAAGTTATTCTGTACACAAGTACTGATTACATGCTATGGGTCAGACATGGTGTTAGGCACTTAGGGTGTAAGAGTCAGTGACAACAAACAGTGGATCAATAAAAAACAGGAGTGGCTTATGTTACTGAAATTCTTCCTTTTCGGCCCTCCCTGGTGGTGCAACGGGTTAAAGTGCAGCACTAAGAAGCTTAAGCCACTTCCACATCAGTTCCATCCCCTCCTGCCCCGGAGGAGACCACATGGCACTGCAGACATCTCCTGACCCACCCGCTGCTCCCCTCAGCAGTGTGCTTCGTTGATCTGCCTGTTCTGCTCTCCGCTCTGTCTCTGGTGAATCCTCTCACCCACCGCATCTCTGGCCTGTACCCCAGTTCTGTATGAGTAAATAAATAAATCTATTTTTTTAAAAAAAAATTCTTCCTTTTCACTCACACGTCTTCTAACACTGATTCCAGATCTATGAGCACCTGTCTAGTACTGAGTCTGGTCTTGCGAGTTTCTTGGCATAAATACTGCCACATATTTGTCCTGCTTGCTCCTTGATATTTGATAGGATCTCACCTTAGCCATGAATGATTAAACACCAAATTCGTTTGCTCACAGTGGTTGAGACCTAAATTTCCATGCTCAAAATAGATTTCCTGCCATAAAGATCTTGGTTCTAGCTGCAAGTAGACTAGAGTTGGAGAACTGTTCTTCCAGGGCATGTCCACACAAAGGGCATTAATGAGCCCTCCCTTCCCCCATTACAGAGTCTTCCTACAATCATAACGGATGATGGCTTGCCTATGACACTAGTTCTATATGCCAGAAATAATGCAGATCCTTTCTAACATAGGACGCTGTCCAAAGACCCAAGTGTCTGTGAAAATACACTTCCAAATTGGACGAACGGTGTAAAATGATGTATGTTTCTACCACAAAAGTGAAATATGTTATCTGCTCTTATGAACATGGCTGCCTCTGTATAGCAAAAGGAACATGGCTGCCAAGGAGTGACTCAGCAGTTGGCACATCGGTACATCTATTATTTAATCATTCTGAGTTTTGATGTTTATTTTTACCTTTTCAAATTTAGTCCTATAACTACATGAACAATAGGGAACTCCTCCACACATAATCAGGTTCAAACTTTGCCCTAGCAGGAAGGAGGTTCCTCCTGTTCAGCAACAGCTCAGCCAATGAGAGAGGTCATCTCCTCTCTCCTAGTAACAGCTCAGCCAATGAGAGAGAGAAAGCATAGCCCAGCAAATGAGAAGCCAGTATACATGGAGCTCCCATTTTCCTCCAATGGGCTCTTTGTTTACAATAGCCTCACACCTCCCCCCTCTCCAAGGTTATAAAAGTTCCTTTCTCTAGGGGTTTGGTATGTGTGTGATTTGTCATGACACTGCCCTTTCTGAATACTTTTCCGAATAAACCCATTCATTGGTGGAATGAAGAAGGTGGAAAGGAAGGACAGGCGAGAGAAAGGAAAGAGCAGTCGATGAGGGAAAATGAATAAAATGGGCAGTGATGATTTTAATGAAGAGCAAAGAAGCTTCTAAAATTAAATAAATGCATGAGTTTCAGTAAAAATCTCCATGGAGATGACATTGAAGATGAAGCTGGAGCCGGGTTGTCTGCTTCCAAATCACAGTGGGAGGATTTGATAGGTCTGAGATAACCAGGGAGGCAGGAAGGTGGACTAGGGTTAGTTCCCCCACACACACACCCAGATTCCACATCAGTGAAAATACAAGCTTCCCTCCCTAAAAGAGTATTCACCCAAGATTCTTCAAGTGAATACATGTGTGGGTTGTGTCACCTTATGAGTCCACGGGCTAGTCCAATGTAAAAGACATAGTACCAATTAAGCCTTTGTTGGCTGGGCTCCCCATTTGCAAGCTTTGTTGATACTACATCCACCAGTTCCCCCAAAAAAGCAGTGTTGGGCAAGTTTTCATAACTGTTTATTCATTATAAATAGTAAATATTTACTGCACTTTTTACATGAAAGACATTTTTACAACACATTGTTGTTGGTTGAGGCTGCAACACAAAGATAGCACTTCTCGTGATCCACCACCCTCTAAGACCAATGTATGACCTAAGCTCTGTACTATGTCTAGTCTCACTAACTTGCTACATCCTAGTTCTTAACTCTAACAGGAATGTATTTGTGCCTACCTCGTTCATGGTTCCAAGAATAGAAAGAAATAAATAACACTGCCATCCACCTCCTTGTTCCTCTGAACATCTCAAAAACAAATTTATTGACATTCTAAAATGTCACCACGCAAGTGTATGTAAACCTCAGTTCCTATAATCTTTTAATATTGGATATCATTGTATAATTTAAAAGTACATGAGAGCCATGTGGACATTTCTGTTCTTGCCCTGCCTTTCATAGAAAAGAGAAGAATGTAAACGTAGTCATTTCAAAAGCATTATTCTCAAACACGGCCTCTAATCAAAAGGAGCAAGTCGGGTGTTGGTTGTCCAGCAAATGGCAAACATCACTGCATTCTACCACAATGAATCATGGGCTGCGAAAATAAAGCACCTGCAAAAATATAGTTCTGATTCTGTTTATATGGCCTTGGCCATTGCCAAAGCACTGGTGAGGTACACAGTATTGCACACTGATAAGCAGCTGTGGGCATGCATGTCAATCCTCTCCAACACTCCCTCCCCCGCCCAGGTTGGTTTCCAAATGAAAATGAATTGGAAAAATGTCATGCCCCACTCCCACCCAGGGAAAAAAAGCAAGCTTTTCCTCCTGCTATCCCATATCTTATTAGCAAGACAGGTCCATTGAAGACATTTATTGACAACTGGATTACAAATAAGGACACGATAACAAATAATTTATTTGGGAGGTCCTTTACATCTAGTCTACCTTCCTAAAAATGGTAGCATTATGTTTCTAGCAATTTCCAGTGTGTAAAAGTTAAGTGTTCCTCCATTCCTGCTTCATCAAGTGAGCAGTTTTAAAGTTGTAGAAGTATCAGCATTGGACATCAAACATGTTATAGTTTATTCTCCCACTATATTTGAGACATTCTGCTTGCCCAAACTATTCCAGGTAAATCACACACACACGTACACACACACTCACATACACGGAATGTTTTTGCTCTTGATCATCGGCAATACAGAGCTGGGATAATGTGATATGGAGACATGTCAAACCACCGCCTGAAAATGTTGCATTTGTCTTTCATTGTCCTGGATCTTCCTTCTCTCCTCTGCTTTTGTCCAACATGTTCAAAAGAATTTGAAACCAACTACTGGAGAAAGCAAATCAATCACTCTCCTTGGTCTCCTGTTGAGACTGCCCCCCCAACGGGTGATTTTGTTTTTTTCTGAGAAGATTCTTCATGGAACAGGGCCAGTTTTAGCTCCTAGTGGACAGTTCACTTATGCAATATCTGGCTTGAGATAATGAAAGGCACCTGAAAGGAAACACACACAGCTTTTTAGGTCATGCTGGGACAATTCACAGCAAGGGGCAAAATCAGCTACAGGCTGACAATGTCATATTTAATAACATGGTATCAAAGGATCGAGACTAATATTTTTATTCTTGAGACAAGTTTGACACAACTCTGTGTCCTTGGGATTACACCCCATATGATCTTTGGGCTGACCTCATTAAGAACATGTGTTTCTAATGCCAGGGGTTACTTCATTTTGGCCAATCCTCATGTTTTACCTAGTGGCAATCAGGTTTCATGTCTCAGAAATTAATAACCACAAGACGTTGTTGACATCACTTAAGAAAATAATCATACAAGAGAGCTCTTACTGGAACCATCAATGGCTTCCCCACAAAAGTGATACTGGAATGTAAGGTTTGTTCATGTCACCCCCTCCCATTTCTTAAAGAAGAGCTGAAAATTCCACACCTAGAAAGTATGAGGCTGGGCCCTCCCTTGTGGTGCAATGGGTTAAAGAACAGCGCTACGAAGCTAAAGCCACTTCAGCGCAAGTTCAAGTTCCAGATAGGGAGGTGACCCACATGGTGCGGCAGACCTCTCCTGACCCGCCCGCTGCCCCTCAGCAGTGTACTTCGTCAATCTGCCTGTTCTGCTCCCCACTCTGTCTCTGGTGAATTCTCTCCCTGCCCCTGCACCTCTGGTCTGTACCCCAGTTCTGTACACATAAATAAATCAATCTTTAAAAAAGAAAAGAAAGTCTGTAAGGCTTACTTTGTCCATACTGCCCATATTGGTAGCCTGTGACAGGGTCCATACTGTAGCCCGTGGTGCTATAGGTGGGTGGACAGTAGGACTGAGATGTGGGCAGACTGTCCAAGCTCTTCATATGGTCCAGTCTCTGACTGCAGCTGGCCGACACCGTGGTGGTAGGTTCCAGGCCCCCAGTGAGAGGGGAGAGAGCATAATCAGTCTGGGGCTGATGGGGTACCCCACCATGGTTGGTCAGAAGTCCCATCACCTAAAATAAGCAGATCAGGAAGCATTAGAATGAATGCAGGGAGGCCCAAATCACTCCACAGTTGAAAGAATAACTGGAAAAAGACCAGATACTAGCTCTGCAGACATCTCCCACCCAGGAGCTATCAGAGACCTCAATTCAAAGTAGCGGAGATATAACACTGTGCACAATGATAACCTCTGGCAGCTTCAGACAAGGAAAGGGGCCAGAAGATTGGGAGGGAGGGGAAAGGAAAAGGGAAAGAGGTTACAGCATGCCCCTCGTGACAAAATCAACTAGAATTTCAAAGGAGGGGAAAAGACAGGAAGAAAATAGGACATGGAGGCAAGGAGAAATGGTATCTGTTCACAGAGAATAACGTCTAACTGTGTATTCCATCTGGAAGTTTCAGCTATGATTTTAAACACATATATTCTTTTTTTTTTAAGTAAATACAAGTCAAATTCTGTGTTTAGTGCTCTCTGTGACTTTGCATTGCTCTCAAAAAAGTTCCTCACCCTGGCCCTCCCTGGTGGTGCAGCAGGTTAAAGCACAGCACTGAGAAGCTAAAGCCACTTCCGCATGAGTTCGATTCCCGACTGCCCCGGAGATGACCACATGGCGCTGCAGACCTCTCCTGACCCGCCCGTTGCTCCCCTCAGCAGTGAACTTAGTCACTCTGCCTGTTCTGCTCCCCTCTCTGTCTCTGGTGAATCCTCTCACCGCCCCTGCACCTCTGGCCTGTACCCCAGTTCTGTATGCACAAATAAATAAATCTTTAAAAAATAAAAGTTCCCCACCCTATCGTAATCACACTTCAAAAATTACAAATAATGACTCCCTCTCTCCCGGCTTTCTCACTAACCCCCACCTCCCCCCCCACCCCTAGGAAATCACACCTGAGATGACCTCTTTGAGTTGTGAGAGCTTTTAGGAAAAACATGTTTATCTTTTTGTCCACAGCATTTAACACAGTACTTGGCATTTCTCAGGGAATGAACTCAGGCAAGATAAACGGTTCTCTAAGTAACCTCCTCTATCACCTATCCTTTCATTTCCTTTCTAAACTAGCATTTCACATAAGAAGGGTTAAAAGGAAAGACATGCCTGAAGTGCAAACATGTTATGAAACATCTACTTGGGTTTGTAAATAAGCCTGGGGAGCAAGACAACTTAAAAAAAAAGTGATAACAGAACAATCTTCAGATTAGCAAACTGACATGTTTCTCCCACTCAAGCTCGCTGACCCTTGCAACTCCCGGTGATGGAAGTAAGTGGATAATTAATTTTGCAGCTGGAAAACTGCCACGGGCGTAAGGAAGTGATTTTTCTCCACTTCATACAAGTCAGTGGCAGGTCTCAACAGACATTCGAGGAAGAAATCAGTGCCCAGCTGGATGTGAAGCCTTCGCAAAAGATCATCTGCTTCAGAGTATCTAATTGCAGAAGCTACACTGCGAACCGGTGTCAACAGTCCTGCTCTGTTTGAGAACTGGTGAGGCCCGTGGAGATCGAAGTGTACAGCTAGAAGCAAGAGCTCTAACTCGAATGGAACCAGAGCTCTAACTCGAGATCCTGGGCTGTCCAACAGGGTAATTCAGGCAAGAGGGTCTTGGATCTAGGGGGTCCCAGCAAGGCAGAAGGGAGGGGCTAGTCTTGCATTCCAGAAAGCTTCCTAAATTAGATTCTAAAAACAATGAGGCCACAATCCCCTTTGGGCAGGGTTTGCATAATCCTCATAGCTAAACAAAATCTTCTTGAAATAGAGCTTTAAACTGATCCATCTTCAATTAGTCCCAGGGGATAATAAAATAAAGCGAGAGGGAGAATCTGTTGGCCACCTTCTCTGGGTTAGCATTTCTGCCTTCTTTTGAAACAGCCACTGAGTGAGCGCCCTTGCCATACCCAGTGTCCCTGTTCCCCATGTCCTCGTCTACCTGCCATCAAGCTGCTGCATATGGGAGCTGGGGAAGGCGGGCCAGTGTGGGAAAACCAACCTGATAATACCCAGGGTGTCCAAAGACAACCTCAGAATTTTCTGAGCTATGCAGTGCAATCTCGAGATCTTTTTAGTCTCTAGAAATGATTTGTGTTCCCAAAATATCATCACATGTGACAGAGCATACTTTTGTTTTACTGGGGGTTTAGGGAAAGTGAATGTCAAATAAATTAATGTGGTAGTTGGGTTCACTACTCCAGGAGACTGGAAGGAACCTGGAATGGAGGTCACCTAAGTTCCAGACAATGCTGTTGCTGATAAGTTAATAATTTCACTTTTTCACATGAAAGCCTTGAACATAGCCTACATGCACGTCAACTGTTTCCGGAATATTCTGCCTACATGGTTTTTTCCTACCTACTTACATGGGCTTTTCCTTTTCCCTTTTGTTTGACTTATAATGTTGACTTTACTGTGTACACTTGGAAGATTCATAAGCTTCAGTTGGCATACTAGCCTATTAAATATTTTATTTATTACTCATGTCTATCAGAAGAAAAGAGAGACTGTTCCACATCAGACACACATCTTTCCAATCAGCGGTATCTGTGTACCAGCCTGATGGGCAAGAATGAACCAGGAAATAAAAATATGGAAAAAAATGGGAAATTTTTTTTTAATGGAAGGGGATAATGGCACAAGGCACAAACTTGGTGCTGTAAATAAGTGGTACTATGCCAAAAACAAGCACTTAGAAAACAATTTTATAACTATATTGATTTAGAGGGGAAAAAAACATGCAGAAGCCCTGAGTAAAGAGGATATAGATCTTAAATGAATAGTGTCCTTCATGGAAATATGACTGGGAACTCAAATTGTTAATCTGCCACTTTAAAGAAACATGCACTACTCTATATGCAGTTACAGCTGAAGAGTAAGAGCAGAATTTTATTCAAAACATGCACACTCTCCCATGAGCTATATGGACATTTTTGTGATAAACTTTTCTATTCTCTGCCATACATTTCTTGTTTACATAGCTTTGAAGCCAGTAATAACTTTGTTCATGGGGGTGGGAGGAATCCATGAAGACCCTAAAAGCAACAAAATGAAGTCTTCCTATAAGCACAAGTAAGATTGTGAAGTTGATCGTGTTGCAACATTTTGCAAGAGTTGAGTCAGGAAATTTTTTAGGAGGGGATTTAAATCTAAGGCTCGGTGTAGCTGTGACAGGTTGCGGGGCACACAGGAGGAGCTGCTGGGACCGTGTTCTGAGCAACAGAAAGATGGCTCCTCAGTGCACCCGGGGCACAGCATCTGTAAGACATTCCAGGAGAGGACCCAGTGGGGGTGGATGCTGGGTGGGTGAGTAGAAGGTGAGAAGCTGTCATAGTGCAGCGAGGAAGTGAGGAACATCCCTACAGTTCCCAGCAGCTCAAGTGAGAAGGGAAAGAGGAGCAGATGCCATTATCCGCTGTTCTAGGACGTCACTGATGAAACCCAAAAGACAGAGTCACATAATGAAACTGCTCTTGAGATCTCAAGAACTGTGTAAACATGGGCGAGGAGGCACTAATGTGTTTCCGCATTTTATCTGAAATTGAGTATACTAAGTAATTACAACTACTGTGATTTATTTCACTATTTCACACTGAGAAATACACACCGGAATGTCTCATTTAAAAGGAGCTCTATGTTGGAAGGAAAAAAAATAGTGAATCTATCGATATAAAATGCATTACTTTCCCCTAACATAATTTAAAACCTCAAATCTCTGTGGAAGGGTCACATTACACTTTTATGTACATTTCTTTAAAGGCTATCGGGTATTTCATGTGGTTCAAGAGAAACTATGGAAATTTCTTTTTGCTGCACAAAGAAATTGGTAAACAAACTTCTTTCGGCGGCCAGTATGGTTATGGCGTGTCTTCCAGTCATAGTTTCTTTATAAGAATATTGTTAGCCTTACTTTTATACATGCTTTTCCTACAGCAATTTGTAATTCAAAGCCTAAAATAAAATGCTTGCTGAAAGTGCCCCCCCCCCCAAAGCTGGCAACATTTTTGCTTGATTTTTTTTTTTAATTTGTTTTGGGGAAAACTTTTTAAAATTTGAGTTGGGGGAAGCCCAACTGCTAGGTTTTCACAAACATTTTCAAAAGAAAAGAGTGAAATTCAAGGCTACAAATTTCTGTCTAAGGAACACCAATCCCATTCTCATTAAAGACCAGGTAAGGGCAAGAGATTCAATGACCAGGAAAAGAATTTTTCTTTAATAAGATCGTCCCATTAGGATGGGATGTTGGGAAAGGAATTTCTTTTTGTTTTTGGTTAAGTACAACTCTTACATGAGGCAGCTGAAAAAAAAAAAATATCTACCAAGTGTATTTATAAAGTATTACCTCCAAAAACATTTCCTAGACACAGTTGCTAAATTTTTTATGGATAACCTTTAAAAGTGAATTCAAAGTCTTAAAATAGTGGTCTAGCACAGTTCACATTATTAGAGACATTTTCTAAAGATCTCTTTAAGCTCATTCTCAAATTTCAGAACTCTAAATAGGTTGTTTATATCTTGATTGGAAGATTATATGGTTCAGGAAAAACTAACTCTTTACAATTGCTTCATGCCATATTTCTCTTGAATTAATTTTCCTATTGTAAGATTAAATATAAAAGATAAAAACCATGGACCAAATTAAGATTTACATTTAAAACAATGTGTCTGGAAAATATTTGTCTTGGCAGAAGTGTTACAGTTTTGCCGCTCAGAGCTTATCAAAAATCTGAAATGATTTAGCAAATTAGGGTATACATCGAATTGCTCCATTTTTCCTTAGAAGGAATCCTGGCTCATGTCTTTATTTTCTTTTTGTTCGCTAGTAATCAGATGTTCTTCTGATTTGACATATAATAATAGACATTTAGATGTATTTTAGAAATCCATTGTGAATTACAATTTGATATGATAAAAAGAGTTTGCATTTTTCACTTCTTTCCTCCAAAAGTCTACTGACTATCCATATATCCATATATACTTTTTAATTTGGATAGCACGTATTTCCACAACCAAAGAAAAATAT